CTCGTCCAACTGTATGGCCTTAAACACCCAAAAGGAAAGTATAACCAAAGATTAAAGGGGCCCATATAATTTCATAAGAGTCCATATGTATAGCTCAAGGCTATATAACAAGCAGCAATGGCAGACAGGCGATACCTTCTTTTGAGCTGCTGGACAGGGTGGCCAAAGACATTTCCAGATAGTAACCCAGCATAAAACTGGGAAAATGAACAGCAGACCCCAATCTTATCCAAAGGAATATTGACAACTGATTACCACTAGATGAGGAACAGCTGACCCTCCTAAAACAAAGACCCCTAGATAGGCTCACTAGATTCACCAAAAATAAACATATTTCTAAAACTGAAAAAAGGAGAAGAATAAAAATTGAAAAATAGTCCAGAAGAAATGGACAAAGGGGTTTTTAGACTAAATGTATGTCAGTGTTGCTCAGATATTTTGGTACCTATATCCTCTCATATGCTTCTAAAATTACAAACCATAGGGCTGGCGAGATGTCTCAGTGGTTAAGAGCACTGATTGCAGAGGACCTGGGTATTGTTCCCAGCACCCATATGGCAGCTAACACCCATCCATAACTCCAGTGCCAGGGAACCAGTGCCCTCTTTTGACATCCATGGGTGTTGTACAACATGGGTGTACTTACATCCATGTAGTCAATGAACTCAAACTCATAAAATAAAAATAAATACTTTAAAATAACAAAGCATATCAAGAATCACAGAGTCTTGAATCCGAATTTGAATTGCCCTCTTGATATTAAAAAGCAGGAACATGTATAGAAAAAGAATAGAAATCTTTATCCTAAATTGCTGTCCGAGGCTGCTCCTGCAAATATATAGTTAAAATACTGTTTGAAAATAGCAAACATCAAGAATTTTAAAATTGTTTAAAGAGTATGACTGTAATTTCCATTCTGTGGGTGCTTGGGATAGTGATAAAGCCTATGTCAAAAAAGTCATGTAAAGGTATGCATAATAATGTTATATATAAAAATAAGGTATTAGGAATGATTATAATAACTATCAGCAAAGAGTAAAGGTATCTTACTTGAATGATAAAGAATTTTAAAAATGAATTGTGATAGATTTAAAAGATGTAATAATATTACACACACACATACACACACACATATATATATATATATATGCCTATAGAGTCTAATTTGTGACTCCAAATGTCCTTCAGTGTGATTCCATCCACTGGAGCCTGGTTAACCTGACAAGAGTCCCATGCTTGAAAGAGATTGTATTTGCCCCTCCCAGTGGCCATCTGTTGATCTTTTGCCACAAATTGGGCAGGGGGGGGGCAATAAGAGAGGTGTGGCTAGGGGACAGGATCTGAATATCATCATATTATATTAAATGAAAGAGGCAAAAATTTAAAAAAGACATAATAGTATTGATCTATTTCAATTACAAAGAAATTTAAGGGTGGGAGAAATTTAGTTAAAATTGTAACAATGGTATCATTTGGAAATTTTTTTTAATGTATTGCTATATCAAGCTTCCTTTGCCTTAGAGTTTAAAGAGATTGGAGGGAAATCAACAGGAAGGAAATAGGAAGGAAAAGAATGGAGCTAACTGAGGGTTGGCGTCTGGGAAAGCGCAAGTAGTCTCCTTACCTTGGCTTGGGATTTCCTTCTTATATTTGACAAATTTGTATTCATTTGCCAGCAATCAAAGTCAATACTCCCTCTGCAATATTCCCCAATTGTGCATCCTGAGTACACCACACTGTTTTTTCCCCAGATAAAAACGTACTGCAATTTTGTGTTTTTGTATATGTATTTCAAACTCTCTATATTCTTATAATTGGTTATTTATTTTTGAAATATCCCAGAATATATTTTAAATGTTTACCGAATAAAATTTTGGTATATTTGTGTTCTGAGTAAATGCACGTATGAAATAATAACTATGAAGTGAATACACTATATGAAGTGATTTCTAAGCAAGGTTGAAGTCTATGTTCTTTCCTCTGATATGCCTGGAAGAAAAGATTTCAGTTCAAGGAATGTTTGGTCAACAGCATACATTGAGTAAAATGCAAAAGTAAGAGGTGAAGTACTTTCAGTAAGTTAGTACAACACAAATTTAATGCAGGTATAGACTGTATCTTGTTGATATGTTCAGATATTATGGAGCCTGTTGTGATTATGCATATTTCTTATACAAACTTGTCCTTTAAAATCAAGCTTAGTAGTAACTTTTGTAAGGCAATTATAGTCTATGTTTTAAATCATTTAAGAAAATAAAATCCATTTGCTCTTTACTGTCAAGGCCTCTTCTGAATTAGGTATCTTGACTAATTAAGGAGTATTGTCTTAATTTGCTATTTTTGTAGAATTATGCCATAATGTTTCTGATTTATAGTTTATCATTCTGAATGTGTTTTGTGGTTTATAACCAGTTCAAATGACATTTCCTAACTCATGTTAAGAAAAAAAATGGCATTTAGGATATAACTTGTCTTTAGTTTTCAAAATGCAAACTAATTGAACTTGCTTCCTTTCCCTAGAAGTGCGCCCCTGTTGTGACACTGTGTTTCATTTTGTAACCCATCTGCTACTTAGGCCAGATATGCATTTTCTGGATGCAATCTGTTGGTTTCCAATGGTTTACTACATGGTGGGCTCTATTGACAAGTAGGTGACAAAGTCTTTGGCACATGACTAGTGTAGTGTTCTGTGGTCTGTCAAGTGCTGTGTCTAGTTACTGCATGATGAGTGTAATCTGTTGTGTCAGTGCAGTGAACTGGTGACCCATGCATGCAGAGCTCATGTCTGTGTACTGTGTCTTATCAAACTGCCTAAGCTCTAATGCATTATGTAATTGAAACAGATCTTGCTGCATGTTACATTTTTCACATGTGCTCCACTTGCAAAGCTATTTTAGTTTTTTCTGTCTCGTAAAAGTATTTTTTACAGTCTTATTATTGTTAAGATATCAGAAACCATTACTATAACTTCTAGAAATCTTCAGAAGAATTTAGAAATACTTATTTTAGCTTAAATTTATAAATAAGAACATTTTCTTGACAACTTATCCTAACAAGTTTCAGGATTCAAAATCATATTGTTAACCAAAAGATCATAATATGTAATGCATTAGTATAAAATATAAATATCACTATAAGATCACTAAACATGAAAGACCACCAAATTAGTAGTTTGAAATAATGTAAAACATTTATGATAATCAAAAAGGAAATGTGAAGCATTAAGGTGCCATGGATAGAGACAAAACAAGACTGAATGTAAGCTAATCATTATTGAAGTTAGATTTCTATCTATATTTGTATATATTATATATGATTACACTATATAAATTCTTTTTTGCTTGTATTTGAAATTTCCTTGAAAAGTAAAATTCATTTGAAACAAAAATACCTCCTCACATGTGCAAATTCCACATTCTAACCCTTAGAAAAGTGGAGTCACGTAAGGGTAAAATAAAGATATTCCCAGCTTAAGCGACTGTAGCATCTATTTCATTCATATTGTCGTTCATTGGCTGCCATCTGGTGGCGGACGTGCGTAAAGCAGTCACGCTGAAGAAAATGCTAAGGAATAAGTTCACAGCCTTCTCAAGAGAGGGACGGAATACTGTATCAAATAAAAGAAACAAAATTAAAGTATCAAGAACAAAAAAGATTCTGCATGCATAACATCATCCAAGTTGTGTATATTATCAACAGATTTAAATTCAGCGTTTAACAATTATTTAAGGTCTTGAGTAACTATTAATAAGAAAAGCTTTGAGGGTAGGGTCAACAGATACGTTTGTGAATAGGCAGATATTAGAGATTAAACGCAATTTCTTTTAATGGAGTGTTGGTTCTGCATGAAGCTCAGTTAAATTACATTTATTGGGTTTCTGGAAGACAAATGTGTTAGAACTCATTAGGTCCTCCACAACGTACATAGCACGTTCATTCCATCTAATATTTTTCTTATGCTGGGAACTAAAACCAAGGACTTGCACATGCTAGTATAGCACTGAGCTATACTCAGGCCCCTGGATGACACTAAAGTCTATTTTAATAATTGTAAGGACAAGTACAGTGATGTTCTAAACAGAAAGAAGAGTCTAGAACCCCTAGGGATATAAGCTTGAAGATCATTGTATTGATTGACTGTTATGGTGCTGGCATCTTTTCCCACAGGAAACTTATTTGGAATAAAATTCTGTTTTCACAGTTTTAACTATAAAATCTCTGTCACAGAATATTGCCCCCAATTTAAGAACAGTATTTTTTTTCTGGAATATTCCTGGGGTGTTGGATGAGGCTTTGGTAATACTCTCTCAATTACTATACCCTCTGAGGTACACAGCTAGCTTAATGCATCATGCACTTGGAAAAGATTCTCATGGAGCTAACTTCAGTTAAAGGATCAATAGTGACTGCAGTTCTCTAAAGTTTATTATTTTGAACCAGGAGATGTAGACATTAACTGATTTTCCTCTTATCTGTCTTCACTTATCCTTGTAACTACTACTTCTTGTTTTTGGTCAAATTTAGCCTCATTCCATTCTGCCCTGCTTTCTATTTTGTAGAAAGCAAAGTCAGAATCAGTTTCTCTGTTTCAGCTTCGATGGCAAACATCTGTTTCTTCACTTCCCTGGGAAAATGACATAAAAATATTTTAGAGGTATCAGAGAGAAGACTGACTAGGATAGTTCACAAGTATTTAATATTCCAGATATGGGGTCACCTCATATGCCAAAGAGGTGGCCTTTCAGCCACTTGCTCAAAAACTTGGGCTGGTAAATGGTAGGGTCAATAAAATAGGTATTTATTTGTTATGTGTTCTTCATACTGTTGGAGTAATATATAGTTCCTTTATAAATTAACATAATAATTGTCCATCTAGACCTTTATGAAAAACTCCTTAGAAACTTGAAAAAATTTAAATGTTGTGTCCTCAAACAGTGTGTTAACTGTAAAAATGAATTTCTGCTTTCTATTTCATTATAAAAAATGGATGCTTATATAATATACATCATTAAATAAAGATTGTTAACACAGATGCTTTGAAACAATTGAAATCTAATGAAGTCTCATGAGCTCCAACCAAAACATTTCATATCAGCACATAATATTGCTTCACAGTTCTCATTAATGTCTGTCTGTGCATACTGTTATATTCAGCTATTAAAGATAACTATGTAAGCCCACCAATAAGCAAGTTTGGGCACTGCTGGTAACACTGTAATTTATTTAAAGCCCTTTTTTCTTGTTGCTCTTTATCAAAGCCTAGATGATTTGCTCAGGTGTGGAGTGACCTTTGCTGCCAACATGGTGGTTGTGGATAAAGAGAGCACCATGAGTGCTGAGGAGGATTACATGGCAGACGCCAAAACGATTGTGAATGTGCAGACTCTGTTCAGGTATGTGTCTACAAGCCAGCCGGACATTTACTCTGTGCTTCGCATATGTGACGTATTCCAATCTGTGTGTGAAGAGTGATGTGCAGCAGTTAGGCTGCCTTTATGTCTGTTCATTCATTCATTTGATCGTGAAACAAATGGTAGATAATATGACTAGCACTGAATGAAGTTAGATGTTTAATAGCCCATCAGTAATTCTCCTAATGATATATCTATATCTTTTTAAAACTGCTTCATAATAATAAACTTCCAAAACTATACCTAGCATTGGCCAAAGGTATACATGTAACTATGGTTATAAGATTGTCAAGCTATTGACAAGTAATTTATCCAGGTTAGAAGTGAATTCACAGCCAGACTCTCACTCTTCTCATAAGTTTCATTAAACTAGTTCAAAGATGAATCTCCATTATGCTTATCAAGACCAGAGAAGACCCTGCTATAAGCAAAGCCAAAGCATCTAGAAATCTAGAAATCCAAGTGACTTGGAACGATTCTTTCTAAAATCATTTAAAGAAGCTCAATTTCAGGAAGAACGTCATGTCCATTTTAGGAATGAGTTTTCAGAAGCTCCAAGGAAATGTGTGAATCACTGAATTAATAGATAACACAGTCCCAGCTCTGCTAGCACTCCCCTCCTTCATACCTCATGTCATGGCTAATTAGCTCAGTTTATAGCTTAATTTCAAAATTCATAGTCAGTAGCTTAGGAGTGAGATCTGCTTAGGGTAACAGTTTGAACCATGACTTCAGGGATGTTGCTTTCTTCCTCTAAGACTCAATGTATTACTTACAAGATTATTAAAGATTTATAACTTGGGGCTGGAGAGATGGCTCAGTAGTTAAGAGCACTTACTGCTCTTCCAGAGGACCTGCATTTGGGTCCCAGAACCCACATGGCTGCTAAAAACTGTCTGTAATTGCAGTTCCAGGTGATCTAATGCCCTCTACCAGTCTCTGTGGGCACTGCAGGCACATGGTACACTTACATGTAAGCAAAAACACTCATACACATAAAATACAAATAAATCTCAAAAATATTTTTAAACTACATGATCTCTTAGCACATGTTTGGTAGTGATTAATTAAATAATAATTATGTACTAAGCCATGTAAATGTCAATTTCATGTGGTGGAATGGAACTTGTCTTACAGCAGCAAAGGCCACCAGGCACCATCTACACGTTGGAGTGCCATAGGCATCACTAACTTATGACCTTATGTATGCCTAATGTCATTGAAATTCAGTTTTCCAAATCTATAAAATGATGTGGAGATTAGTTAACCCTCTTTGCAATAATAATAATGCCAAGTTTAGAGATCAGACATGTGAAGAATCTGTCACCACTGCACCTGGAAATCTACCCTGAATTTGCATAAGAACCCCTGGTTCTTCAGGAAAAATATATACTCTAAAGTTCTTAAGAATGTGGCAGTTCATGTAGCCTACAGCTAAAATAGCTGTCCTAAATAGTACAGAAAAAGATAATATAGGATATATTTAAAATATGACTATATAAGTAACTTTTTCATTGGAGAATAAAAAGAAGAATTAATTCAAGGTTGAGATTCCTAGCCAGTGGATAAAGTATAAAGTCATAATTTTGATTTCATGCTTTGTAAAAGCTAATTATAGTGTTTAGAGAAGAGGGTTTTCAACTAAATGTGCTGTTTTATTTTTAATTTAATAGTTTTAATTCTGTCATTACAGAATTCTTATTGATTTTCATTATCTAGTCTCCAAAAGAATTTATTTTGATTCTACAATAAAAATAAATTCTTAAGTAGCTGAGAAGTATATAGAAGCTAATTAATCATTTAACTTGCTGTGGACTGGAGAGTTGGTTCAGTGGTTAAGAGCACTGGTTGCTCTTGCAGAAGACCCAGGTTTGATTTCCAGCACCCAACTCGTGGCTAACAACTGTCTGTAACTCTAGTTCCCGGATTATGACACCCTGAGCATAATGTGACCTCCATGGGCATTGCATGGTATGGGTGCACTTATACACATGCAGGCAATATACTTATACATGTAAACTAAAATAATAATAAATAGAATATTAAAAAACTTAACTGGCCAGTGTGATTAAGGGATGATATACACTATTCAACTGACTTAGGGTGACTTTTTTGAGTACCTAGCTGAGGATGAATGAGTGAGTGAATGAATGAACCAACAGGTTGAGCTCCCTCAAAGACTAGTTTTATCTTTCTTTAAGAGTAGGATATTTTAGAGTTGGGTGTGGTAGTGCATGCCTTTAATCCCAGTGCTTGGGAAGCAGAGGCAGGGAAATCTCTATGAGCTCAAGGCCAGCCTGGTCTACATAGTGAATTCCAGGCCAGCTGGGGC